GTTTAGTAAATCACTAGTTTGAAAGTAGCTAGTGTTGTTAAGGAAGGATTTACAAGATCAGTTAGCAATTAGCATTAGCTCGACAGCTTTTAGTCCCTTCAATAACTCTATTATTGAGAGAAATGGTGTATATTTTTAATTATAAAATGCTACAGGGAAAAAACAGCACAGTACAGATAAAATTGAAAGAAACTCGGGAGCTTTTATGACTGACTGAGTAGCGCTCGCAAGTTCCTGGCTGGTTAGTGAGTTAGCAGTTAGCTTGCCAGCCTGTTAGCCTCTACAACCGCATGTTTTCTCAAAGTATGGTTTCTAAAAAAGTATTTACTTAGTAACAGTCCTAAAACTAAAGTATTGTATCAGCAGTTGTATCAAGTGTGTGTGAGAGAGAGAGAGTGTGGGTGTGTGCTGGGTAAAACTATGAGAGAGCACTGTTGTGTTTTCTCGTTGGTCTGGTTGGTTAACTGGGCCGGAGTCAAGGGAAAGAATGTAGCCCCATTAAAACACATTAAAGAGAGAGGCAGAGAGAGAATGGGTGTGTGTCAGTGTGAGGCAGAGAGAGCTGGATGAAGATAAACAGATATAAATTGTTGATCCACTGTCATAATATTACATTGTTTTGTTCACAAAGTCATCTCCTCCTGCAGATAAACACTATGTGAGTTTGAAAGAGTGACAGGAGGACTGGCAATAGGAAATGAAAGTGGTGTGACGAAATGAAAATAGGTGAGAGTAATCGGGGGGAAAGTTAAAGAGAGGTATTGTGAGGCTCCTGTGCAGCCTGTCAATATGACAACAGGTAGTGTCAGGTGTAAATGAAATGAAAGAAGAGACAATGAAAACAAACAGAAGGGGAGAAAGTGAGAGAGAAAGAGGGAGATAAACACAATTAGAGCAGAAAAAGATGGAGAGTAAGATGAAGAGGAGGAATTCTGAAAGAGAAGAGCTATAGGCAGAGAGTCGGAGATGCTTAGAGCTGATATTAAGTCGGAGTTTCAGCATTCCTCAGCCTTGGAAAACACTTAAACATGCATGACTGACTCGTCTGTTTGCTTTAGTGAGACAAAAGCATCACAACAGTGCTTTACATGCAAAGTGCAGGACGACAGTCTGGTAACTCTACACACACCTCCACAAGTCCATTTAATTGTTTTCATTCACAGTATTTGAAGCAGGCAGTATCAGTTGCAACACTACAACACGAGGCATTAGCATTTCCTAATTTATCCATTTTGGAGAGAATTTAAAAAAAGCTTTGGTTCACCAGTTTACAAGACTTTTGAAGATTTTCAAAAGTATCTGCTTGAGGTCAGCCTGTATCACCACTGTTCTGGAGACTAGCTCTCAAGCTAGCAAAATTAGCTACTTACTATAAGCAACAAGCTAGCTTGCCAATCATAAACAAAGCCCATTTAAAGCTGCAGTATTAGATTTTTTTGGACAGAAGTTGAACAACCTCACAACAAGCTGGTATATTCAATTATTTTTACAGGCAAGTGTTCGCTAAAAGAAGACAGAGCAACATTATCACGTTGGAGTCATGTTTGATGAATGTTCCGTCCAATATTTACTCTTCCTTTAGCTCTGGTTTGGCCTCCACAAACTCCTTATCTTGTTCTATTATTTATTTTCCGCTTTGTTTTTTTTCTAAATGTGCCATAAAACTAAAACTATAAGCTAAAAAAACCAAAACAACCCTCAGGGGCCTGGAATCTTCTGGATTTTCAGAGGAAACAATCCAAATAGTGACGTTATTTGCCAGCAAACCCTCCCCGTTCCAAAAGCGAAAAACACGAAAGAACCTATGTAGAGAACATGGCGGACTTCGTAGAAGAGGACCCACTCCCAGTGTAAAACCGCTCATTCTAAGGTAACACAAACACAACTAATATTATTTTCAGGTGATTATACACTAATGAAAACAAACCTATGAATATTATATTCCATTCCTGCCAATCCTTTAAGTCCAGGATGTCTGAATTACCACTAGCATATGAACATAGCTTAACATAAGTCTTCACCATCACTGAACACTCAACAACAATTACCCAACTGGCCATTTCATCCAAACACATGGAGACTGTAACCCTGCCATGGTTAAAGGTGCCGGGTACATAAACATACTCTTATCAAGTCATTTTGTTATTGTTATAACTGTCACTAATTAACTAATGACTGACACTGTGGCTCCACGTGGATCTGGTGTAAGTGACATTACCACCCTCCGCCCAGCTGAAATAAAGATAACGTCCCCTTCCTGCAGCTCTCTTATCGGCGCACAGTGCAGAGTACAGTCAGACTCGCCCTTTAGCTGAGCGCAGAGTGGCACATTGACAAAACACAAAACAATATGTTTCATCATCGTGGCAAGTGGGAGTTGCCACAAGCTTGGTCCTGCACAGGTTTTCGGTTTTTGTGTCAGTCAGATGTAGTTTAAAGATTAAATAATGGTAGGAGGAAACAACTGCATCTGCTGAAACAGCTGGGTCACTATGACAAGATAATAAAACAGTTGAAGGGCACTTTATGGCGAGTTATTGTGTTATTACGTTATTTATCTCTCCTGTAGGATGGCCATAATGTTCCAATGATGTTACTAAAGTGACAACACGTTCTCAATGATCAAAAGTATGTGGACGCCCTAACATTCCAGCCATAACTGATTTTTGAACGTGTCATTCCAAAACCCTGCACATGAGTAGCCTGCTACAGGCTAACGGACTGCAAGCTTCCAGTTCATCCCAAAGCTGTTGGAGGCTGGTTGAGTTCAGAGCTCTGTGCCAAATGTATTGATCATGCTGTAACAACCACAAAACCAAACTGACCTGGAAGCAATACTGGATGTAAAATAGGTCTTAAATTGCATTTATAATAGTCTTAAAAAGGTCTTTGAAAGTCTTAACTCTAACCTGTGAAGAAGCCCTGTTTTAAACCTTCAGTATGATATCATATTATCCTACACTGAAGGTATTCTTTGAACTAAGAGTAAGCCTGAGTTACTCAATAGATTCATAATGACTTCACCAAAGTTACTAGTAATACTATGGGATTTACATAATCATTGTGATCATAGTTTCATGCTGTTAGAACTTAGATCATTTATGCTTCCTAAAGTCCCAAATTTCCTAAATGTTCCTAAATTACACAAAATTGTGCTTATTTAGTAGATGTCACTTTGTTTTGAAGGATCATAAGCTGTCTTTGTAATGTTCCTGTGGAAGGTCTAGCCTTTGTGTTAACTGTTATCATACTGAAATCTTTTTAAATCTCCTGTTTTTACATTAAATGGCACTTTTTGCATTGACTTTTTTTTAATGAACTGATGTAATATTAACAGTATCGTTTAGTACAGTGGTTCCCAACCTGGGGGTCGGGACTCCCACTAGGGGTCGCCAAAGCCACGAGTCAGGAGACCTTCTTGATTTTAAAACATACTCGAACATTTTAAAACTATACACAGTAGGCCTATATCTCAGCATTAAGTTGTAAATGTAAAGTAAATTGTCTAATAGAACAATAATCAAGCGTCAGGGAGAAGAAAACACTGAATTTCTCAAAAAAGAAGCCTATTTTTATTTATAATAAGTCTGTATGATTGTTAAAAATGATAAAAAATATTTAATAGAGACAGAGAATTGTTTAGAAAGTTCCATAAACAGGAAATAATCTGCTCAAAATTCATCCAAATCACTCGTTTTACTATTCACTATTACACTGTACAGTTTTGAATAATGAAATATGTATAAAATATGTCACTGATTGGCAGTGGTTTAGAAAATAACGACAGGCTCTGTTTACATATTGTTGCTGAATGTACACTATTATAATGTTTTTGCATCATTCTAAAAATAACAGGCAATAGGCTTACATTGGGTCGAGATACTGCCCCTGTTGTAGTTTCTATTCATCCCACTTAGACAGTTTCTGTGATTTAAATCCCTCTAAGAACCCCTCAGCAGACTAAAGTTCACTTTTGATCACCGCCTGCTGAACTCCAGCTCTAAGAACGGAATGAACTGAGAGCAGAACTACGGGGCCCCGGGAGCCAGTGCCAGCAAGCGCAGTGGAAAGCTCCAGGTTAAAATCCAACGAGTGCGCAGTAAATGATCAGCCTCTTACCTGTTGACGCTCCCTCTGCGGCGCTGCTCTGCTGGGACTGACAGCCTCAACTTTCTGCCTGACAGCAGTTTGCCTTGTGGGTGGGGCCAGGGCTACACCTGCAGCACGCACACCGGAGACGTGCGTAAAAATGGGCGCGCGCACGACGCCGCTGACGCACGCAAAAGAGTTGTCGTTTTACCTGTACCGCCTGTCAGAGGCGGGAAGAGAGGAGGGGATGGGTTGTTTTATTTTTTATTTTTAGACGGAAGTCCACAAAAGTTTTAAGAAGCATGTGAACCTCTCTCTCTTTCTCCTCTCTCTCTCTCTCTCCTTCTCTCATCTCTCTCTCTGTCGCTCTCTCTCACCATTTTTGGAGATCTAGTGTAGCCTACCAGTCTCTCACCAAAATGCAACTATTGTAACTATTTCAGGAATGTTCTCCTCCCTTGTGGCGTTGTGACGTTCTCTCTGATGTCACTGATGATCTTTATTGAATAACTGGAGCTGAAAGAAGCTGAATCATTCTCCGTCTTCATGTTCTCTCTTTAAGTTTTTGATGTGATTTTTTTGATTCTTTTGATTTGTCAATCAGTCGATTTCAGACCTATTGACAAATCAGACCCAGACTGAAATATCTACGTATTCTGTTGGTCAGATTGCAACTTAGGCGACATTCACACTGCAAGCCTTGACTCAATTCTGATTTATTACTCAGATCTGATTCTTTTTGTTTTGTTCCAAAAATGTGGCCCATATCAGAGTCCAGTGTGAACAAGTCACAGTCCTGAAATGACCCACTGGACAAATGCAGATCAAGATTGACATAAAATAAATAATCAGACCTGAATCTAAATTTGGCCCAAATCAGAATTTAAAAGATCAGATTCCATGTGATTTGTTCTGTTAATACTGCCATAAAAAGGGGATCGGAGTCACACTTTGGTCACTTTGGCTTGCAGTCTGAACACGGCCATAAAGATCAGACATGTCAAAAATTATGGAAATAATTTGAATAATAATTTGTGTTCAATTCTTTTTTGCACAACAACTTCAACCGACTGGTAAAATATTCTGTGAACAACATCCACTCATTTTCTCACTCAAATATGCAGTATCTGTAAATATGCAAATACTGAAGTCCGCTCTCACTGTACTGTATGTTCACTGGAGATGTCCATGCTACTACGCTTTTGTTCATCTCTTTAAACAGATATCTGCATGCTGAATCTGCAGACAGGAGACAAGAAGGAAGTGTTCTGGTTACATTTGTAAAAATCTAAAAAACTTAATCAGTCAAAGTCTAGCCACTGAAAGTCAGTAATGGACCTTAAAACTAGAAAAATGTGAGCAAGTTGTGCTTATTATAAGCAATGGAAACTTAAAATGAATGTTTTGGTCACCTTATTGAGCTGAATTTAAGGATTTGTTCCTTAATCTAAGATTCGAAATTGAAAATACCCAGCATGATAAGAAATAAGGGACTTTGTTTCTTACTTATAAAATAAGGAAATTAATCTTGTTCCTCTGCTGGGATATTATACAAACCACTGTTGCAACTTGTTACTTGTTAAATCTAACATAATATTAGCTGTAATATCTTACTAATACACCGTTAACATGCTTGACAAGATTATTTTTCTTTTTAGACAAATGATTAGATTCATTTCCCAGAAACAAGACTTTTTTACTTTATTGAGCTCACACCTCAAACAGAGATTTATTACAGAACAATTACAAGCAACAAGTAAAACACATTTTTGAGTGGAGTGGGGTTTTTAACAAAGGATAATGTTTGTAACCAAGGACAGATTGGATGTGATATCTGAATTTAGATCACAGTGAGGAAAGTCTTTCCAAGAGATCAGACAGGAGGTTTTCCAGCAGTCTGAACACACTGTGATACAGTCTCCTGTGGAGAGGACTGTTGGTTAAACAGCCGCTGGTTGCTATAGGTGTCAGACTGAATGCAGAACTGCCTTGTGTTGGGCAACACTGACAACCACACCTCACATTCCTCTGTGCTGGAGCTGAGAACACCCATTCAGCTGGCTATACTATGGACACACACACATGCGCGCAGATGTACTGTAATGGAGTAATATCACATTCACCTTTTGTTCTGTAAAAAGCACTTTGTTGTGACAAACCTGTCTGTGAGGAGACTCATAAATACATTTGAATATAAGCAAGTTATTCTGTCTGTGAGCCTCAGTATCAGGTTACAGGCCGGTCGGACTCACCTGAGCAGGGTTGTAGAAAATCTTTGTCTCAGTGTGGACTGATAAAAGTGCAGCACGTGGTACTTTATCATGTACAAACCAATGCACACGCCTAACTGAGAGCTTGATGGGTTCAGATAAGCAGTATAGCTATTTATTCAGTGAAACTCTCAGTGTTTGGGAGGTTTAGGGGTGTTATAATACATTTTTTTCCAAACTGACCACATTTAAAATCTGGTCTCACTCACATAAACAAACACTTCACTCTGAAATGTGGCTGTATAGTTTGTTTCTTTACAGTCTACACATGGTAAGAGTTTCAAGACTTTGTTCAATTAGTTGCCAGTTCATTTTATTTTGATTGACTAATCGATTTATCAACTAATCGTTACAGCTGGATTTGGCTTTATCAAACTCAGTTGGCGTTTAAAGCTCACTTGAATATAATATTCATATGACTTATATGAGTTCCTTTTTTATTTATATGTTATGTTTTTACAGGAACTTAATAGTAGACTATATGTATTTAAACTGCCTATGATTGAACTCCAAGCTCTCCTAATGTACTGTTTTACTATTGTCTATTGTCTGATTTAACTGCTATGAAATCATTTTTGTTATATTTGTTGAAATTGTCTTTACATCCAGACAGCAGGATGTGAACTAAAGGGGAGATGGGGATGATGCACTCAACAAGACATAAGCTCCCCTGAAATCATGATTTTAATATCTAAAAACAAAATTTTTGCAACACATTTCCATTGCTGTATTTTTATGATGATGGATCATGCATAAAAAATAAGCAATTTTATATACATATATATGTGTGTGTGTGTGTGTGTGTGTGTGTGTGTGTGTGTGGGGCTTTAATTTACACCGAGCGGAAGCCAATATATACTAGTGTATGTATATTATTATTTCTATATATACATATATATTTATATATACAATATATTATATATATATGATACACACATATATACCATTATATATGGTGTGTATATATATTATGTATGTATTATATATACTATATATACATAATATATATATACACATATATACTATATATATAGCTATATATACGGCTACACATATATACATATATATGGTGTGTGTAATATACTATTATGTATTAAATATATATATAGTATAATACATTATATTATATACTATATATACACATATATAATAATATATATATATGAGCGAAACAGTTTGTGGCATAATAAAATGGAGCAAGCCTTTTACTCTGCTACTGTCAGTGGTTCCACTGTCTGTTTCCCACTGCAGACCTTCACACTGGAAACTGTTTTGATTAACTGATTGATTTCCTACATTCAGCAGATCTAAAACTAAACTCTGCATAACCTTTCCATATCTCTATAAATCAGTCTCACAGTATTTGTTTGTTACATGATTATAAGCACATGTTAAGATTAAAAACTTCACCTGACCCTGATGCGTCAGTCATTACAAAGTCACGCTGTGCAGTCAAACTTTGCCTAAATCAACAGGACTTTATTCTGGATTCTAATTGAGATCCCAAACTTTTCCTAACTTGATATAAAATAAACATGATACTGTCAGACATGATACTGTAAGACCTTTTTTCCAACCTTAAAGCTCCTGAGGGGGAATTTAAAGGGAAAGCTAGTTGCTTAAGAGTTAATTTCATCATCTCACACATCTGTTTTCTCTTCCACGGTTGTGAATCAGCGAGCAGAAAGTTGCACATGTTGTGTTGTGTCACCTGGTTGTTCAAGGTGTGACTGTAGTCCAAAGAAATGTGCTGCTGATGGGAGCGTCCCAGTGACACAACCTTTACTCACTCACTGATAACTCACACTGCTTACATAAGACATATAAGATGATGTACTTGCTAGCTTATGCAGCTAAACTATAAGACAGTGTTATTCTCAAAACTAGTTCTTGTCTATTTTCTCTATTTTTTTTAGACTTGCTTTGGTATAATTAGCTTTTTCTCTTGTTCAAGTTTTTATTTTTCTGTATATTATTTTTATTATAACTTTTTATTTCAATTTTCCTGTATATGTTTTTTGTGTGACAATAAATACATTTCAAACAGAATGCAAATGTCATTCAGTTTTCTTAAAACGTCAAAAATGTTTTAGCTGATCTGATAGATGGAAACATTCACACACCTAATAGCCCTGTTTGGGAACTAATATGACTGCTACAGGTAGGTTCTCTTTAGAGCAACATTGTGTGAGCCTATTCCTATTTATTTTGGTAAATTGGCACCATCAAGTGTGCCGAATTAGCTGTTAGCAGTAATGCACCAATGCACCTGTTGATGCACAAATCAACTAGCAACTACATCAGTATGCGGCCCCTTGGATCAATTTAAATGTACCACGACCCATTCAATCAACTGGTTGACTGAAGCTTTGCTGCTAAAGTCTAATTTGCACTGTGCCACAAATGTCAACCTCATTGTGGCCCGAACAGAAAGTTCAAGTCAGTGGTATTCGTCCTCTGGGGACTACGAATGTCTGGATAAAATTTTTACAGTTGAGATATTTCAGACTAAAGTGGTGGACCTACCAACATACCGACATTGCCGTTCCTACAGTCACAATAGTGGGGCTAAAGACATTTAAACTGAAACTGACCCCGCCGTGGAGAGACCTTCTGTCTTCACCCTTTATTTAACCAGGTGGCTCAGATGAAAACAGATTTTTCAGGAATGATGAAAAACAAAAAAAAACATAATCCTAAAACTAACATGAATGTTACAAAATACTCCACCCAGCAACATATGAGGACAAAAAAGCTATCATAAACAAATAGGACGGAATTGGGACGGGTCAGAGAGATGATTTGTTCTGGGTTTATTCTTATCTGCAGGTGAGCTCACAGAAAACTGTCAGTATCACAATGATGTACTTGTAAAGGTCACAGAGACACGGCAGATTTGTTTTGTTACATTATTAGACCAAAAAAATTATTGGATTGGATGAATTATGGGGAATGTTTTTTAAACTGATATCACCACTATTACTGTTACAACTCCCAGTACTTAATTCCCCTTTACTTATTTTGCTAATAGTACTACTATTGCCTGTTATTATTTCTACTGTCCTATATAGAGTAACTACAGTGTTGAGTATCCAACTCCTAATATTTGCGTCATAGTAACGGATAGACATTCTGGCAATCTGTTATAAATGTGTGCTCTACTTGGCTACTGAGGAAGTAGTCAAAAATACAATCAAATCAAATACATAAGTCTGTCACTAGAGATCAGGGATCGTCCTGTCTCATACCAACACTCAACACTGATTTCGTAACCATGATCGTGATCTTTCCCTAGGTAGCTTGATCTGCCTTTACATAGTGTAAACAGAACTTAACCATACTGTAGTTGCAACAAGTCCTCCCATCTAAACAAAATAGCCTAGTTCCCTTGTCAAACCTTTCTTTAAACTAGCATCTCTAGTGTCAGGACACATCCCGAGGCTAATACCTAATGTGATGCTGGAACCTCAACTAAGCAGTTTGGTCATCCAATCTTTAACATGACTGAGAGTCTAAGCCATGCTACCAGCTCTGTGTGTCGCGTACTGAGAGGAGAGGAGATTAGGAGATCATAAAAGTCATTAGGCTTCATCCTCTGAGGGAACATGAATGTATGAAATGACATGGCGATCCATCCAATAGTAAATATATTTAATGGTGGACAAACTGCCATCTATAGAGCCTTGCCACTACTGATCAGCTGAAACCTCATATGGGTTGTGTTTTCTTGTTTCCTTAAGAGGATTTGTTGTAGTTCTATTACAACTAGTGCTATTTCTATTAGTGCTAATTATTATTTTTTTGTATTGTAGGAACAAGTCATTTAAAAATGTTGCCACTGAACGTTTTTCTCAACTACTTAATATCAACATTTTATTCAGCAATTTGGCTTTAAAATGTAATTATAGTTATCAAGACAACCTAAGAAATACTGAACGATGTACTAACAGTTCACAGGCCACACCTGATGATCAGTGACAGAAAACCTTTGAGCTTCTGCTAGCTTCAGTTGAAACAAACTCCAGCTCAGACCGAGCAGTTGTTGCAATGTTCCAACAGTGCTGGAAAAAAACCCTGTCAGATGAAAAGCAGCAGAGCTCAGGCCAGTGTTTATGAGGGAGACAAGGTCAGACCTTCACCCTGCAGTGATTTATTGGGGTCTGTTTTCCACTGTAAAAACAGAAGTATGGTGTCATGCCTTAGAATAAATCCAAACTACCAATAATGACTTGAAAGCCCTCAAAATCAAAGTATGGAAAAAGTTGAATTAAATCTGATGGAACTTCAACAATAGGCGCAATATTCCTGAAAATATTTCCACGACTACATAAAAAAATGCAAACAGTAGTTTCTATACATCTTTAAATCATAATTTTATATCATCTTTGGTCGAAACCAAACAACAAATTAAGGCCTGAAACCTGTTCTTTTTTGTATCAACCGTTTGCATGCATTAGCAGGCACCTTTGGCATTATTTGGCACTAAATGAAATATATACAAAAAATACAATTGTATTTTTATTTTAAATTGTATGTGAAGAGGTATTTTCAAATATTATGAAACATGTAGAAAACCAAAAAAAAACAAAAAACCTAATATCGACTAACAACTTTTATCAAGTAAACAGACGTGGGAAAAAAGCTGCGTACAGCATGTACTTCAGCGTTGGAGGTGCTGGCAACTGCAACGTGTAGTTTGTGGAAATAACTGCACAATCGGCTCAAAAATATATAATGACAATGTTCATAAACCAACGTCATCCCTGTAGCCTGCAGCCAGAGACTGATGAATCCTCCTCGATGAGTCAAAATGGAGAGTCATCCTGAGCTGAATAGACAGTTTACTGCAGAGGCATCGTCAGCTCAGGAGGCAATCCTTTCGACTGAAGAACCAGTTCCTCTAAACTCATGACGTGATGTCTAACCTGTCCACGCTCGTTACAGCAGCCTGCCAACATAAAGCAGGTAAACATATGGGATTAGTGTCAAGTAAGGACTAAATTTACTCCACAGAAATGTTTCTTGTGTGTAAGTGCTGCAAAATGAAGGAGACTGAAGTTGATAGATTGAAGATCATTTTTACATCGAGTTTTACAAATCACTGGATATCTTCAGCTAGGATGCATCCATCGAAACAGAGATTTAAAGGTTTTAATTGAAGTTGAAATCATTTGTCTACTTTCCAATGTGCTTATCCTGTTCTGTGTCCGGACCTGCAGACTATCCCAGCATGCACTGAATGAACCCAGTGATACAACCTAAACCAGTGGTTCTCAACCTTTTTGGTGTCAAGGAATGGCAAATTGAAACAATTTGGGTGCAAACCCACGTTGGAGTAGATGTAGTCTCCATAATTGTCTATACTGTAGATTTGCAAATTAAGAGCGAAGAGTGTTTAACTTATGAACAGAATACTTATGCTGCCCTCGCAGATGTGTCACACTACATAGACAGAAGAAGTGCTGCAGCTAAAACTCATACAGGTTATGCATGCATTATATTATCAGTAAAGTTATTTACATTTGAAATTTTCGATATAATTAGTTTCAAAATTTTTTTTGTTAAATGAACTGGTTTTACAGTGTATAGAAAGAAAGGAGGGGGGAAACAGTCAAAAGTGCCTGCCAGCACCTCTAAAGCTGTAGACCCACCTCTGAGAACAAGCTAAAAATAGCCATGTATGACTGTCCATCTTGCAGAGCAAGGCTGCAGCCAGTCATGTTTCAGTTTGTGTAATCTATGGCATTAACTGCAAATAGGAGACTTTTGTTCCCTGACTTTAGCCTTTAAGGCAGTTCCCCCTCCCAGGGAGTGTACTGCTCTGGGTGGGGAGAAAGGCTGTCTTTAGGAACAAAAGTCCCTTCTCTTGCTGTTATTCCATAACCTGTGCAGGGTTATGAAATGAAGTATAGTTAAAACAGTAGTAGCTAGCTAATCATGCACAAGCACAAATATGAAGTGAGCACACCAAACCACATTCAATCATACAATCAAAAAATAAATAACACCAATGACTGTCACAAGTGTGGCAGGACAAGAATGGACCAAAATCAGAGTTCAGTGAAAACCCACTAAGGTGGGTGCTTTATTTT